TCGGGCTGCATCGCTGCATCCAACACCTATAGGTTTGTGCCATGGATTGGGCAAACCACAACCAAAAGAAATCACGGGACTATGCAAATGTATGCACTGATTTCCTTCGCCTGCGTGCTCACAGCCGTGGGCTCGGGCATCATCGGGTTCAGAACCTCGGTACGTTGTCTGGTTCATGCTGCTCCGATGCATGACTTCATGCAGTGCATAGTCCCGTGTCTTCTTTTGATTCTGGCAAACCAACAAACAAAAGAAAGCACGGGACTATGCATATGTAGCTGAGTTCCACAGCCTGCGGGTTCACAGCCGTGGGGTCGAGCATCATCGGGTTCAGCACCTCGCTTTGTGGACTGGTTCTTGCTGCTCGCATGACTTCATGCAGTGCATTGTCATGGTGTGCCAAGCACATGCTATTGTGTTATAACACACTGAAATATCGAGGACAGCACTTCGTCTGTAGCCTGGGCCAGAACCTTCGAACACTTTTCATCAAGGGAATTAGGTGCTGCATCCACAAACGGCACATGCGAATTCGAGCGAGGAAGGCCACATTATACAATGGGGCAGCCACCGGTTCATCGCCATCATCGTTCCAGACCTGCTCATGTGAATTGCACGACCCGATCCATGCACAAGATTATGCTAGCATGCATTATTAATTGCAATCGCAGATACTCGGCATGCACACGACACGCCTGGGAAGTTCGCGGGTGATCCGGGGGCAATGCCTAGCATGCTAACTTGCGTGTTTAGTTCTTGGATCGATGATCCCCCCAAGCCAAGTCCCCCACTCCAGGCCATTTGGCAAAGAACTTGCGCACTTTTGCGGCAAAGGTCATGCGCGGGACTTCCTGTTTTTTTTGCTAGGAATCATTGGAATGTTTTAAACAACTCTATGTGTACATACATGCACACAGAAAAAAGATCATGATAATGAGAAAGGCAAAGGTATATATCCACATATATATATATATACACATACGTAGGTGTGTATAAATGACATGTTTTATCCCTGTGCAACACATGGCACACACCAGCTTATCCAGCCGTGCCTGGTCAACCACCTCATCCAACTCCTCTTGCATGTCCTTGCCCGGGTTCGACTCCTGCCCGGCCTCACAGGACAGTAGCCAAGAGCGAACACATGAATTCATGCAGGCCGCGCCTGCAGAAGAAGGTCACCTTCGGCAGTGTCTCCTGCCAATTGTGTGATCGCAACGAATTAAACAATGATCCAGCTGACCTTGCCGAACTCGTTTCACAAGGTCTCGAAATTGTGCCTTGTACTGCAACTCATGGGGGAACGCTAGGACATCCGTTTGTGCTATTTCCGCCAAGACTTCCGGAAGGCAAGCGGGAGGGCTTGGTTTGATGTTCAATCCTGGCTGGATCTCTTGCGTTTCCATGTCTTCCATGGCGGTGTTCTTCTTGCGGGGTTTTCTCGTTGTCAGCTCGGAGCCATAGATACAGTCCTGGCCGTTCACTCATGCACATCCAACACTCCGGATGATTTGATTCAAGGCTTTAATTCACGCATAGAGTCATAGAGACGGTCCTTGATTTCCTGCATCCATTATCGCCGGGCTTGCTTGGACTTCTTCGTCATTCTCACACAAGTCTGACAAGCACCCTTGATGCCCAGAGCATAGCCGTGCAGGTCCAGCTCGGACAGTTGGTCTCCCAGAAACTCCTTCAAGGCCTTCTGAATTGGAGGCACCGGCCACACCCCCATGTTTTGGTCACTCATGACACTCAGGGTCCTCAAATCGATGACAGCTCAACTAAACAATGCCATGCATAGCCCATGTTGGTCACACACTCGCAGCCAAGTCGCACTTTCAGCAACTCCTTGTTTGCCTGCAGCATCTCCTCGATCTTCTCAGAGCCGGTCTCGGCATCCTCATTTTCCTCGGCCTCATCGGTGTCTGCGCCGGCAAGGTGCACGAAGAAGGGCTGCCCCTGCATGCGAAAACAATACAAAGATGGACTCTGTAAAAAAAACCTGCATGTTGCGATGGATAAAGTACCATGGCCTCTGCCAGCGGCAAATCTTTCCAAGCTGCAACCATAACATGGATAGCATAAGACGAAGCAGAAGGCATGGCGGCTCTGGAATGCAAAACTCTCCTATCGTTGTATGTGTAGATACGACCTCCAATTAAATCAGCAGTTGCAAATGTGTGTGTGTGTGGCCAAGAATCTCCCTGCATACGTGTGTGCATATGCAGTGGATCATATCAGGCGATGGAAAAGACGCCCGTGCAAAATGACAGGAGCTCGAAGCAGCAGCCAAGGAATCTCCAGACATGTGTGTCTGCATGAAGGCAACCGCTGCATATACAACTGCCCGCCTCAACTTTTCCTGGCACAGTTGCCTGGATGTCAGGCCTTGCGCTTCGTGCGCATCGCGATCAAAAGCACTTGTGCATTGCTGCATTATTTCCTGCCAAAGATCGAGGGATACATATGCAAACGAACATGCAAGACACAGACCTCCACACATCAAAAGCACGCCCCGCCTTCCAAAAAGTCCAACATCCGCGTCGGACGGCCTGCATGCAATCTCTGTCTGCATAATTAAAAAATGAAAAATCATCGTCCGATCACGTGTTCAGCCCAGCCACTGCAATGCGTAGCACGGATTGCAAAAGCCATCAGTCATCAAGCCTGCATGGCACACAGTGCTATATATATATATGCAGATATATATATATATAGATAAATAGCTCATGCATGGTGCACATAATTGGTTAATGCCGGGGCACCTCCTCAGGGCAGCATCTGCCCACGGCTCAGGCTTCACATTGGCAGCCAAGTGATCGGCCAAATCTTCGGATTGCTGTTTGACATCCACTGGCCTCGGGCGCACAACGTACGATACGTATGCTTGCGTACATGGCACGTGACCAACTCAATCCTGCAGAAGATCGAAGCCGAGCGGCACCAACTGCATGTGTAGAAAACACATGTAATCGGCCATACAGACCGCCAGCTGCTCCAGTTGAGCACTCAATTCGTCCGCACCGTCGGGCGTACTCTCCAGGAGCTTTTGGACAAATAAAGTTGCTAATCATCGCCTGTCTCTCAATGCTCCATTTAGCCAAAAGGTTGGCAACAGGAGCTGGAGGTTTTACAGGGGCAACCCAGAATTTAGAAGTCAAAGGCATCTGATCTGGAACCTCAAAGCTGCCGGTGTCAGCGTTGGCCGTGCTAAAGGCTTCTCGAGCCACCGTAAACAAGGCACTAACCTCGGCAAGGAAGCGGATCTGCTCCGCCCATGTCGAAAGGGTCTGCATACACTGGATCACACTGCAGACGGCCATCATACTGCTCTCATTTTCCAAGAGGATGCGCTTGATATCGCAATGGCAGCAAACCATAATCGCCGCCGTCAAAGCACTAAGGCTTCTGCGGGACACGTGGTTCTCTGCACTCGGTGCCATGGCGGCCGGCATGCAGGCAACGACACAGCTCGCGAGGACCCAAAACTGCGAAACTGCGCGAGATTTCACGTGCTCCCATCTGTCGGATCATGCATTGCATGCGGCAGTTGAACAAGCACGCAGGTCCACCGCTTCATGCTGCATGCAGAAAGAAAAGATCGAGGGCATCGAAAGGAGCGATCGATGGAAAGATTGAAACGACTCGAAATATATAGCTGCTCTCAACATTTGCATGCATGCATGCACAAACTATTTGTTGTTGTTGTTGTTGTGTATATATATATGTATATGCATGCATGCATGCATGTGTGTGTGTGTGCGTGTGCGTGTGCGTGTGCGTGTGGGTGTGGGTGTGGGTGTGGGTGTGGGTGTGGGTGTGGGTGGGTGTGTGTGTGTGTGTGCGTGTGTGCGCATGTAGTCTTTAAGGTTTAAGGTCTTGGAGTTTTTTTCCGCATTATAAGGGTTTTTTTGCCTCCCACATGCACGCGCTGGGACTTTGAGCCATCGAGCCAATTAGTCTATATTTCGAGGAGTTTATTTTTCTGCTTCTTGATGGATTCCGGGGGAACGGTGAGACTTAAGTAGACATTTCCAAATAATCCTGTACAATCCTGTACATTTGGGCTCATAACCACGCTTCTCCTTATATACGGTCTTGTCCACAGACACCGCCCCAACAGTAAATTCGACGAAATCGGCTGAACATGACCCATGCACGGCTATTTCCGGGTCCTGCGGACACTGTCCCTGTCTTCGCCACACAGCCATCTGCGCCCAGGCACAAATTGCCCCGGGAAGAAGCCAACCCAGCCCCCCAAGTTGCGCCCGGCCCAAATTTGCGCCCAGGCACAAGTTCGGCCCGGGCACAGGTCTCCAGGTGGAGGGCTTTCTGGAGCATCGGTCTCCATTGGCACTTTGCTGGTGTCCTGGTTCGATGACTCAGCCATCTCACCCAGCGGTGAGTCCGCTGGAGCATCTTCGGAACTGCCGGCGGCGTCCATCGGCTCATCGACCTCCTCGAGGGTTGGCCCGGGAAGTTTCTCAAGGAACTCCTCAATTGTGAAGTCTTCATAAGGCCTCGGATCGAGTTCTTCAACTTCTCGGGCTCGTGTCGCCTTGAGACTCTCGTATGCAATAAGCAAGATCGGCATGTGCCTTCTTTGCAAACACTGAAGAAAAAATCGTTCTCCTCGGTGTCCTTGAGAATCCGGGTGAGAGCAGCCAACACGCACGGCGCGTGGAAGGTTTCACGAAGAGTGCTGTCGAAGACACTGTACCCTTCTGCTGAAGCGATCTCGTACTTGCGCCGAATCTCGAGGTCGTTAGCGAGCCTTTGGATATAGCCGAAAAAGTCGGAGCCATAGGCTTGGGAAACTGCTGCGGTCAAGGTGGAGAAGTCCTTCCTGATGTAATTACTTGATCTCTCTGCACACATCCCTTTCTGAAAGCCTTGTGTACAGCAAGCTTGGATGCATAGTCAGGATCATCTACCTTGGGCTCCTTGTCGCGAGTATCTTGTTCCGGTGGCATTGATCGTTGGAAAGCCAATCTCGGACGTCAAAGAGCGAACTCCTTGTGTTGAGCGTAGTTGAGAGCATCAAGAAGATGACCGAAACTGTCATCAGGCGACTTGTCGAAAGGTGACTTGTAGCCGTTGGTGTAGACTGTAGACGTATGGCTTCTTATGCATCTCCACCACAAGGCAGTTTCAGTTTCCCCAACTCGAACGCTTTCAGGAAGAAGTGAACTGCGTATCCTGAGACAGGATGCTGCAGCCACGTCGACCAGTCGTAGCTGCCTCCAAGCAAGCAGCTTCCGTGTCTCTTTCGGCAGGCTGCTCAACGGAGTGGTTTTGACAAGAGCATCACCATAAGGGGTCTGCATCTTGTTGCCCGCCTGATCAACACGATGCAAAAGCCCATGCTGGAAAAGATGCCATGGGTTATGCTTGGCCTTCTGGAGAATCTCTCGGAGTTCCTCCTCTGCTGGGCCTTGCGCGCATCCACCTTCCCGTGAACGTAACTGTGTCTCCTGCCTCGTAGGCAGACCTGGTGGTGCCCTCGGTCTGAGTGCCCTGCTTGGCTGCCTCCTTCAGCTCAGTGTCACTAATAAGCTGTCGAAGAGCTTCCTCGTCACAGGTACCTCTCCCTGCCAGGAGGCGCCGTTGCCAGCTCTGTCGAGTAGCTTGCAAAGAAAGCCCTGAGTTGCGAATAGACTCGTAATTCGCTTCTCCGTGGCATGGTAGATACACCCGAGCTGGTGGCTGGCTCTCCAAGAGCTGCTTCGGAGACTTGTTCGGGAAGTCGAAAGTGCCCCTGAATTGCACTGATTCCAATATGGAAATATTAGCAAATGAGACTGTCGAAGCGAGGAACGAGAAGAACTTCCTCGGTTGCCATTCGGATGGTCGAACCTTGGAGTCGTGGATCTGTTCCAAAGTGAGCTCCATATATGATCCAAGCTTGTAGCGTTGGTTGTGTCGCAAGAGACCAGAAAAGTCCTTGGACGACCTGACCGCCCAGCTGTTCTGGCGACCCCTCATATTGGAGATCTCATCAATGCCCCTGGCCAATTCCTCCAGCTCGGCTCTGCTGAGGCGACCAAGACAGCAGCAAAGGAACTCATACTTCCAGACCAATCTCGGCTGTAGAATACGAGTCCCAGGATGGCTGTCCTCATAGGCCTTGACGTGCGACAAAAACGCCAATTCGCCTTCCAGGATTCTCGTCGCAGCTGTCTCTCCATGTGGAAAGTATGCTGTTGTTGCCCCAGGTGTCGCGGGATGCCCTCTGGCTTGAGCTTGATCGTGGCCAGTAATGCATTCCTAGGCCATACACGATCTCTTGCTGGACTGCCTTAAGGGTTCAAGTAGTCCTTATTTATGGCTTTTGGTACCCAACATGGACCCAAAGTCCTATAATAGGGAGTACTTGGACCCTGAGGGCTGTAGATTACAACGCCACCATCTCCAATTGTTCGGAGTGCGTAGCGATGCACCCAGGAACGACTCTTCAAGTATTCTTGGTAATCCCTTTCCCCTTTTATTAAATGCCCCCCTAATACTAAAAATACATTGAAATCCACCCGGAATAATCCCTGCCCTTTAAAATCCATTTTGAATTAGGGGGATTAGGGTTAAGGGTTCAAGGTTTAGGGTGACACTCTCTTGCTGAGCCCTCTGTCGTTGGTTTAGGAATCGTGGCAAGAGCCCAGGAGTCTGGCATGAGACCAGAAGTTGAAGCTTTGTGTAAGCAGCGATAATAGAAATCGTCGATTTCTGATGAGGTTTAGGGGTCGTCTCAAATGTTCAGGAGTCTGTTCACGATCACCATGACCATCACTCTCACCGTCACGATCACCATCGC